AACCCTTTCGAGGACGACCCCTACCCCTCCTTCCTTCCCCTATAGATTTATATGCTTTCCATGTCATTCTACTTTGATCCATTCTCTCTAAATGACCAAACCACCTCAACAACCCCTCTTCTGCCCTCTGACTAATGCTTTTATTAACTCCACACCTTCTCCTAATTTCCACACTCCGAATTTTCTGCATAATATTTACACCACACATTGCCCTTAGACAGGACATCTCCACTGCCTCCAACCGTCTCCTCGCTGCTGCATTTACCACCCAAGCTTCACATCCATATAAGAGTGTTGGTACCACTATACTTTCATACATTCCCTTCTTTGCCTACAAAGTTAACGTTTTTTGACTCCACATATACCTCAACGCACCACTCACCTTTTTTCCCTCATCAATTCTATGATTAACCTCATCCTTCATAAATCCATCCGCCGACATGTCAACTCCCAAGTATCTGAAAACATTCACTTCTTCCATACTCCTCCTCCCCAATTTGATATCCAATTTTTATTTATCTAAATCATTTGATACCCTCATCACCTTACTCTTTTCTATGTTCACTTTCAACTTTCTAACTTTACACACATTCCCAAACTCATCCACTAACCTTTGCAATTTTTCTTTAGAATCTCCCATAAGCACAGTATCATCAGCAAAAAGTAACTGTGTCAATTCCCATTTTGAATTTGATTCCCCATAATTTAATCCCACCCCTCTCCCGAACACCCTAGCATTTACTTCTTTTACAACCCCATCTATAAATATATTAAACAACCATGGTGACATTACACATCCCTGTCTAAGACCTACTTTTACCGGAAGTATTCTCCCTCTCTTCTACACACCCTAACCTGAGCCTCACTATCCTCATAAAAACTCTTAACAGCATTTAGTAACTTACCACCTATTCCATATACTTGCAACATCTGCCACATTGCTCCTCTATCCACTCTATCATATGCCTTTTCTAAATCCATAAATGCAATAAAAACTTCCCTACCTTTATCTAAATACTGTTCACATATATGCTTCAATGTAAACACTTGATCTACACATCCCCTACCCACTCTGAAACCTCCTTGCTCATCCACAATCCTACATTCTGTCTTACCTCTAATTCTTTCAATTATAACCCTACTGTATACTTTTCCTGGTATACTCAGTAAACTTATTCCTCTATAATTTTTACAATCTCTTTTGTTCCCTTTCCCTTTATATAAAGGGATTATACATGCTCTCTGCCAATCCCTAGGTACCTTCCCCTCTTTCATACATTTATTAAACAAAAGTACCAACCACTCCAACACTATATCCCCCCCTGCTTTTAACATTTCTGTCATGATCCCATCAGTTCCAGCTGCTTTACCCCCTTTCATTCTACGTAATGCCTCACGTACCTCCACCACACTTACATTCTGCTCTTCTTCACTCCTAAAAGATGGTATACCTCCCTGGCCAGTGCATGAAATTACCGCCTCCCTTTCTTCCTCAACATTTAAAAGTTCCTCAAAATATTCTCGCCATCTACCTAATACCTCCCTCTCCCCATCTACTAACTCCCCTACTCTGTTTTTAACAGGAATATACACATTAATAAACCCATCACACACACATTGTCTACAATCAACACATAAAACACACAAATACAATTGCAGTTAATTTTTAAGAAATCCTGAACTGAAGATCACTGAACCAGTTTGAAGCAATAAGTCATACTTTTAAAAACTGTACCATTGTTCAGGTACCTTTCATACTGCACATACATAGAATTGTAAGCAACGGCATAAAAAAAAAAAAAAAAAAAACACTGCTTAATGGTCTATGTCTAATTCTCCCCTCAAGGAAGGTTCCTTGATGTTGGTGAGGGGCTCTTAATTTAGGGAATTGGATCTGTGCTCCAGTTCCCTGAATTAAGCCTGAATGCCTTCCACATCCCCCCCAGGCGCTGTATAATCCTCCGGGTTTAGCGCTTCCCCCTTGATTATAATAATAATAATAATGTCTAATTCTTAAATAGTCTTTAAGCATTAGAATTAGTTTGCCTGAAATGTATTTACATGCTAGTAGCTTTTTGTGCCTAACAATGTTTTCTTACATGTAAACTACATTATCTGTGTACAGAAAAAATAAAATAAAAATCTGAATTTGAAAATTTATTCAACACCTACATCCTCCCCGACTCCCTCTCTTGGTACCACCTGATTTATTCAACACCTACATCCCCCCACTCCCTCCTTGTCCCACCTATTTTTCAACACCTACATCCCCCCGACCCCCTTTTGGTACCACCTGATTATTCAACACCTACATCCCCCCGATTTTCCCCTCTTTGGGTACCCCCTATTTATTCAACACCACATCCCCCCGACTCCCTCTCTTGGTACCACCTGATTTATTCAACACCTACATCCTCCCCGACTCCCTCTCTTGGTACCACCTGATTTATTCAACACCTACATCCTCCCCGACTCCCTCTCTTGGTACCACCTGATTTATTCAACACCTACACCTGGTCACAGACCGGGCCGCGGGGGCGTTGACCCCCGAAACTCCTCCGGGAAAACTCCCCCCCACCCCTCCTTGGTACCCCCTGTTTTTGCTTCCACGACCTCTCCCCACCTGACCTGACCTGACTTAACATAAGAACATAAGAAAGGAGGAACACTGCAGCAGGCCTGTTGGCCCATACTAGGCAGGTGTACTTTAACTGTATACTTAAAAAATTGGCTTTTTTGTTTGTCAAGATAAAGACTCCCTCTAAAATTCTCGGGGGAATTACAACTCCTGCACAGTCTACCGTCACTCAAATCCCAAGTCCAACATTTTTAACATTATTACAACGTACTCAAGAAGAAATTGCTTTTTAAAAAAACGTCCAAACATACCAACCACGGCGGGATGAACCCAGGTCAAAAAAGCCCAAAAACCCAGACTGTCATCAAACTATGGAGTTTTGATATACTACTATAATGACACAAAATCGATATTGAAATAGAGGTGTTGCAACTGCTATCTGCAGATGTACATTGCTACTGGGAGATTCAGAACTTGGGTGTGTGTGCTGTTGCGCGTGTTGCATCGTGTTGTGCGCTGTGTGCGTGCGCGTTGTGTGTGCGCGTGTGTGTGTGCGCGTGTGTGTGTGTCGCGTGTGTGTGTGGCGGTGTGTGTGTGTGTGTGTGTGTGGTGTGTGTGTGTGTGTGTGTGTGTGTGTGTGTGTGTGTGTGTGTGTGTGTGTGTGGCGCGTGCGTGTGTGTGTGTGGGCGTGTGTGTGTGCATGTGTGTAAAATAAGAAAGAGGCTTGAAAGTGAGCATAGAAAAAATGCTAAGTGATAAGAAGAAGCAGGGAATGAAAGATTAGAGGTAAGAAGAGAAAGAAGAACTATGGAGGAAGAAAGTATATTCAGATACCTGAAAATGAATATATCAATAGACGAGTCTTTGAAGAAAAACCACTAAATACGCAAGGGAAAGCTGAAAGAGTGGTAATAAGTCTTGAGAGGGAAGTTTATCAATAAATGCAACAATACAAACACTGCATTTATGAGTTTAGAGGTGCTGACACTCTTACATGGGTGAGAAACATGATCATCTAATGATGCAGCAAAGAGAAGGCTGGAGGCAGTGTTAATGTTTTGTCTTAATTTAATGCATTATGTGAATATTACTGCATAGAGAATAACAAATGAAGAAATTAAAATATGGTTTTTGCCACTGAGAAAGAATGAAGCAGGATATATAGCTAGTGTGTATAAATCTTGGGTGGATGAAAGATGAAGTTATGTGTAAAACAGGATGGAAGGAGTGTGTGAAAGAGGTATAATATAGGCAGATATGAGCACGTTAAGAGTGGAGTAGAGGTCACTGGGCTCGGACATGCTGGAGTGTGAGTAATGGTGAATTTCTTTTCTTCTTTGCTATAGTAGGAAACAGTGTTAAATAACAAAATAAAACTGGGTCACCAATAGACTAGGTCATCTTTCTTAAACAAAAAATAAACAGGAGTGTAAAGATTACATAAAGCAAGCTATAGATGACAACCACATCTGTGTGATAGCTGACATACTGAAGGACAAAACATTACAAATGTCTCCAGCTTCAAGTGGAAGCCTTTCTTTTTAAGTCCGATAAATAGACTTCAAAACAGCTGTGGAGCTGGAGTAATGAGGTAAGTGCACCAACATAACAAGTTTAAGATTAGAAGGGCTGTGGGAAGAATGCAGTAAGCATTCCTGAATACACAGAACGAAAGTGCAATGGATTTGCCACCAAGCACACGAGGTAAAAACTGGGAGCAAGAAAATGCGCACAGAATGAACAATATATAAGCAATGAAGCACACATACAGTATATAAAAACAGTAAACAGTAGTTTAGAAAAGTAAACAGATTCCTCCAGCAAAACATTTTCCCTAGATAATGGTAACAGCTATCTAATTTTCAACCAGTTGTAAATCAATATGCCTGACAATTTTACTCGTGATCTAAAAGTCTATAGCTAGCTACCTTTTGTTTTGTTCAAGTTAGAAGGAAAATGGACATGAAAACTGCAAAGCAACCAAGAAGATCCAAGCTAAACATCCCTCAAAAAGAGGAAACATGAGCATAACAATAAGTTTTACAGATACAGGCCCATCATGAGCCATATGTTACAACTGTATACAGTGCACATTGATGGTCTTACAGTTGAAAAAGAAGAATTATTGCATTTGGGTAGAAACTGCATAGAATCTTGTAGGTAATGTATTTCCACTGAAGGCTTGTTACCAAAGGCTGTTAAAAATATTAGCATTTTTGTGAAAGGACAAAAATAAAAAACAATGACCAAAAGAGGTCCCAAAGTAAAGAGGAACCCTGCATAACAAGTTATAACCACTTTGCTATAATTTTCTATTTCAACTCAAGATGTTTACAACTACCCATACCTCAAGAGCCAATCATATTTTACACAACACCCATAGCACTAAAAGAAAATTTACTGTCAGCGATGCATTTCTAACCTTCTCCAGTCTGCCAGTCTCAAGACTCAGGTGCAAAGGGGAGTCCACTCTAGCTCCGACCCTGGCCATCTCCCCAGTCAGTTTGGGACTCCCTCGTGCACCCCTAGGGGATGTCAGGTGTCGCTTGGCTTTTGGATTCTTCTTGACACACTTCTTGGAGGAGTCACCTGTAGGACTGAGCTCCAAGCATCCTGTTACAGGAATGTCAGGAGTCCCAGAAAAACTACTAAATTTTTGGATTTTCTTGTTTGAAGGCTTTGAGTTATCCTCCAATTCAGGCACCCCAACTTGTATACTTTCTGATGCACTACACAACAATTGGCAGAGGTGGGAATCTGGTTGCTTCTGTAGCTAATTTCCTGATTCCTATCCCAGCATTTGTAAGACAGACCCAGTACCTGATTAACATGCGTCTCTCTACCACTTTCTTGCAAATGTTCTAATCTCACTATTTGCCTTTCTTGGCCTCCAAAAGTAGATATACCGGACTGTACAACTGGAAGACTTTGGCTCGGTCTATTGGAGCCAACATTTATTTCAGATCCGTAAGTGACAAAACTGGGCTGTATTGTTCCACAATGTCCAGAACTTTTTTTCATCCCAAGACTCTGACCACCTATGCTAGCCTGCACCGAAGTTGGCGAGACAGGAACTGGCTGTTTTGATGCCATACATGTTGGAGGATCTAACCTGGATACGAGAGAAGAGGACGCCGCTTGTTCCCCTACACCTATAACAGTTTTGCAAGTGTCTTGCACACCCGGACTGAGTGGAACAGGTACTTGGGGGTTACAGTGGGAATTACCATTTCTCGGCGTTTCTAAACCACTTTCAATATCTGAGGTAACCAAAAAAGGGGGTTCCATTACCCGGCCACCAATCCGTGCCTCCAGGAGCTCTTGTTTACGAGGATCCAGGGCATTGAAGTGCTCCATCTTAAAGCCTGTCACCGCTCCTGCAAAATAATAACTCTCATTAGACTAATACATATGAAAAAAAATTATATTTTTTAACACCCTTTCATTCTGTCAAATGATACCAAAAAACAGTAAAAAAAAAAAAAAACATGAAAACTGCCCTCAAACATGCCTCAAAGTTGCTGTTTTAAACCAAACTCAAGGTCAGAGGTTAGCTGTTCCCATTATGCACTGCATGGGGCACAATTTTTTGTTTATACTGTTCACAGCTACAGCACAGACTCACATCTAGGGCAAAATTTACTGATCACAGAGGCCATTATGACTATGATGCAGATCTATGCAAGTGGCACAATATCTAAGCTTTAAATGTCATCCAGATTTTCAGAAGCTGTGATCCAATGTTGTCTGGATCACTGGCATGCCCAGCATCCCACCCCAACTCTTCTGTGTGTGGTGCTTAGTAGCTTGACTTTTTTATTCTCTAATGTTGCTTTAATGATCAGTATTGTAATGAAGTACAAACTGTTACTCAGTGTTCTTTTGTGCTCAGATACTTTATTACTCCATTATTACTACCAGTCTATATGTTGTGGTGCTATGTGTGTAACACTTCCCTCACTCTTCTTGCTTGACTCTCATTGTCAGCTTGCATGTTGTGCTGCTGTGTAGAACATTCCCCTTTCTCTTGTTTCCAGCCTATATGTTGTGCCATGTATAGAACACTCCTCTGACTCATTTTGCCAGTCTGCATGTTGTGCCATGTGTAGAGCAATCCCCTCATTCTTGTTGCCAGCCTCTATGTTGTCCCCTCATTCTTCTCACACTAAAACAATGGAAGTCTTGCCCTGCACATCTCATTTCTTGCCTTGGGTAATCTTCAGCTCTTGTATTTAGGGACTATCTGAGTACAGGATACTTCCTCAAAGTGTTGTTTCTAAGAGGGACACAATTTTTCCTCCTTAACCGAAGTAATACTGCTGTATGTTATGTTGGTCACTGATAAAATGCTG